CCTGTTGCTCTTTCTTACGTGTAGGCTTCCCCTTTGACCTTCTCTGCCATGTTTTGACCTAGCATGTGGTTTTCACCAGAAGCCGGGCCACGCTTCTTGTACTTTGCAGCCTGCAGATCCCTGAGCTAAATAAACCTCTTTTCTTTATAAATTACCCAGCTTCGGATATTCTTCTATAGCAACACAAAGTGGACTAAGACGCACAGAATGAGAGAGGGAGGGAAAGGAGGAAGGGGGAGGTAAGAAAAAATTTACATCATTATTTTCCATCAAAACATTTATTTATTAATTTTCCATTTTAAAGAAGTACTTTCACATAAGCCTTGAATCTATAAGGAAGTTTCTTGAAAAGATATCTTGCATCCAGTGTGTCCCAGGATGCAGGGCTTGACTGCAACCTGTCACTGAAGACTCCCCTGCTTAGGGAGGGATGAGAGTGAGTGCTAAAGGAATTGTAGAGAACATCTGTGGACACTCACCCATGGACAAGGAGACAGCTAATAAGTACCAGAGCTGTGGAATGTCCTAGATTGTCTGGCCACTTGTCCAACTCTCCCCTTTCGCTCACTATTCCATGCACTGTTCTAGATATGTGAACCATGGACAGGCAGAGGGGTGAGCTGTGAATTGTTGCCATTCCCAGTTTGTTGCAAGGGGCTCCCATGATTACCCACATCCTCTTCTGAATGAGGACCAATGAGCCCATTCACAAAAATGTTGAGCTATAGAATTTCCTGACAACAATATGCACGTGTGATTTCCTTCTATTGAAGTGAAGACTAAGAAGCTTTTTTTTTCTTTTGGAGGCGTGGAAATTAAATTATGAAGGTTAAGAAGAAAGATAACATTTTGAACAAAATCCCCACCTACCCACACACCACTATCGGTTTGGTGAACCCCTGTTCATCTTTTAAAACCCACCTCATATTTTCCCTCCTTCACGATGCCTCTCCCTGTCTCCTTCTCCTCTAGTGTAGAGTTGATTGTTCCCTGTCTATCCTTGGCATGCATCTTTTATGTTGCATTAAAGTTTGATCATATTTTCTCTCCCCTAATGAACCATAAGACCACTGAGGCAGGGGGCAGATATTACCAGTACTTATGCCAGGACCAAGCACATAGAAGGACTTAAGTATGTGGTGAAAGAATGAATGGCATTGTAATTTCTCCAAAAAGATATTTTAAGAAAACTAGAAAATAAACCACTCTAGTTTTTATTTTTAGAGGGTAGAATGAGATGTGTACAAGTAGGATATTATTGAGTAATTTAACAAAAATGATATCTGGATAAAAGTGGGAAAAAATGGGATCTACTATACATTTCAAACCAAAATCCCTCCTTTTTGGCAGCATACAGGCAAGAGATTTAAAAAATTGGCTGAATCTCACCTACCACATATAGGTATTTTGTCATCACTTAATACTATTAACCATTTGCAGTGTAGACACGTGTGCAAAGCACCATGCCAGGCACTATGGCAATAAAAGGAAAAGATCCAGTTCTGAGAAGCTCCTATGAAATCATTCTTTCATGAATTGCCCCTAAGCACTCTACTCACATTATTTCCATTGATGTCAGGTTGAGATCTCATTGCATATCATTTCCCGTTAGCACTCGAAACTTGTACATGCTTGTCAAAGTCTTGCTCCACCATCCTTGCCATTGTTGCCCACACAGCATTTTATTCATACCTCTCTGAAGAGTGACTTTCATTTTATATTCTGGTTAGCTGTATGTGTCTCTGTCTGTCTTCTATTACAGGGGTCAGCAAAATATTAATATTACCTGTAGGCCAATTCTAGCTTGTTAGCTGTTTTTGTAAATACAATTGTGTTGGAACACAGCCACACTCATTCCTTTATGTATTGTGAATGATTGCTTTTGTACTACGGTGGTGGAGCTGGGTAGTTGCAACAGAGACTCTATGGCCCACAAAGCCAAAAATGTTTACTATCTTGCCCTTCATAGAAAAAGTTTGCTGACCCTGGGTCTGATATATTGAGATATCTTTAAAGTCAAGAACTATGTTTGTTCTTTTTGGTTTCAGCCCAAACATCAGCACATTTAATGGGATCAACGAATGTTTGAGTCCTGCTATGTGCTGGGCACTGTTCTAGGCACTGGTGGTACATCTCTCAAAGAGCAAAGCAAAATCTCTGCTTCCACACAGCTTATATTCTAGTGTTGGGGACAAGCAGGAGAGAAGGAGCGATAAGCAAAGTAATAGACATATTACTTTGAATGCGAGGGAGAAAAATAAATTGAGAAGGAGGGAGAAGGATTGCCTCAATGAGTGAGTGATCATGATGGTAGGGGGGGATTGGTTTTATGTTGGTTCACAGAGAAGGTGACACTGGAGCAGAGAGTCTTGTGGATTTTAAAGACCTAGTGGGGGCGAGCCAAGGATGGGATGTGGTTGGCACGTCTGAGGAATCACAAGGAGGCCATGTGCCCAGAGCAGAGAGAGCAGTGGGTAGCGTGGGAGGAAATGAGCTCACCGTCTGAGTCTGTGTTGTCTGGGGCTGGTTTTATCCTGGTGAATTGCTCTGTAACTGAGATGGGAAGCCCCTGGAGGGCAGAGCAAAGGAGAGGCATGCTCTGTCATCTTTTAACAGGCTCGCTGACTACCGAGTGGATGGTAGACTGTAGAGGCAAGGGTAAGAGTGAGCAGCAGCCCAGAGACCATTTAGAAAGGTCTTATGATAATCCAAGTAAGAGATGTTGCTAGCTTGGCCCATGATAATAGAGGTGAGGTGATGAGAATGCCATTTTGGTTTCTTGAGCCAGCTCAGTGCCTGACACACAGTAACCATTTCTTGAATGAATGGATAAAAGGTCAACATTTCCATTGGAGTCCCCAATGGAATCACCTCTAGAAAATCTCATAACACCACTCTGGGATGGAATCCTGGCACCTGCATTAAAAAAACAACCATCCTAGCTCTCCAGACACAATTTAATGCTCATCCTTCTGTTCAGATCTATTGGTAGGTATTCTTGTTTCACCTGAGAACAAAGAAGATCAAAAGGGCTACATTTTCCCTTGAATTTATATGTTTCTGATGGGAAGAAAGAAGAAATTTGATTTAGAGATAATTCTAATTTTTTCCCATGATTAACCAAAATAAAACCTTTCAATTTCTTCTGAGCCACCTCTATATAGGCAGAGTTGACTGGGACCAAGTGAGGACAATAGCTTTCTTACAATAGCACCCCCAGAGTTTCCATTGCAGGTTGTGAAAAGATGAACAAGCTTTAATATTTCAAATCATAGCTGCTCCTTTATTCTTACTTATGTGGTAAATATTAGCAATTGGTTGAAGATTTTTTAAAAGATATCAAGCTTTCATGAAGACAGTAGCTTTTTAATTTTTCACAGGCTCGGGACATACTTTAAACTTTTAATGATCAGTTATCATTCAGTAGGTAGCAAGATGAGCATGAATTTCACCAAAGTGCGACATGGTATTTCTGAGGGATGCTATTTCAGAAAAGGTCAAAATATTCTAGAAATCATGAATTTTGTAAATAAGTGGAGGTGTGAATACACACGATGACAGATTGTCAGAATCACTAAACATAGCTTTGGATGTGAAACCTTCCCATAAATCCAGCTGAGAATCCCCCCCGCCCCCAGGGTGATTTGAACCTCCCAACCACTGGGTGAACTGCGCTATTCTCCCACAGCCTGCAGCGGGCTGCATCTAATACTCCCGGCACCGTGCCGCAGACCTCTCTGCTAATGGTCTTGAAAGGGAGAAGGTTCAAAGAGGCTTGGTTCCCAGGCCTGCTAATGAGCATGAGACCGCTTCACCCTTAATGAACCAGGGTTTGTGTGGGATTCTTTCCTTCACCCTTTTTGAAGGAAAGGCAGATGAGAGTTCACAAAAGCAGCGAGGTCTTTATGGCGAGGGGAGCAGGCAGCTGGGCCACCCGAAGGTGGCCTGGAGGGGAGCAACAAAGCTGGCGGAGGTCGTGCCCAGGCCAACATGGCTCTGAGTGTGAGGCTGGACCTCCTGCCAGCCTGGCCTGTTGCTGGCAACAGTGACAAGCCCATGATGGGAGTTTTTAGGCCAGGAAGGTCCCTCAGCAGTCCTTGCAAGCTTCCTTATTTTCTAATCCTTGTCATTGTCATAAAGTAACTTATCATATAAATATGATAACCACTAAAATCGTTCTAATTAACTAGATCATTGTTCTAAATATTAGTCATTGGTGCACAAGCTCATAGCAGCCACCAAAAAGGCCCCCAAGATAGTTTTCTCTGCTTCTCTCCGCCCACCCACGTCCCACTGCTGCATTAAACAATAGAATTATTCAGAGCAGTAATGAACATATGCCAAAAATATTGCCTCCATCACAGTCATCTTTGTGAAAGTCAGTGTTTTTTCTCAGGAACATATTTTGGAAAATGACATCCAGTACATACACATGATCATTTCTGCTGAAATCTGTGCATTTGATTTCATGAACGTTTTGTGCACATTTCTATAGTAACTACCTTTCTACAGCTCTTGAATCCTGCGTTGGTATTGCAGAGTAAAAGTCTTTAAAACACATATACATTAGTATGCAAGTTCATAAATTCAAACTTATAAAAGGCTCTATAGTTCATTAACGAACGTTTCTACGTTTTAATTTTTCATGCTAGGTGAAACCTGGCTATGACACAATATGATTATTGTGGTTAGATACAAATTATGGAAATTACAGTTACAATTACTTTTCCAGATTAGAATGAGGACTTTTAGAGAGCAAAATTGCAAAAATAAAATTGTAACTTTCGGTGACTGGAACTTTGAGAATATGTTAGCTGGTTTGCTGGCTCTGGGTGTTTTTTTTCTCATTTCCCCAGTGAATAGAAAGAGAATTACTTGGAATGTACACACACTTACCCTTTCATGACCTATGTTTGGAATGATTCTGAGATGCATTCAAAGCTGACAGCCCCCCACAGCTGACCCCCTGCGCCTAATCAAATCTTCCGTTCTGTTTCCAGATAGCTGATCGGCTTCCTTGGATTTTGCTGATGACACAGGAGAGCTTTGCCTGAAGATGGAAACACTGGAGTCGGAGCTGACCTGCCCTATTTGTCTGGAGCTCTTTGAGGATCCCCTCCTGCTGCCCTGTGCACACAGCCTCTGCTTCAACTGTGCCCACCGCATCCTAGTGTCACACTGTGCCACCAACGAGTCTGTGGAGTCCATCACCGCCTTCCAGTGTCCCACCTGCCGGCATGTCATCACGCTTAGCCAGCGAGGTCTAGACGGGCTCAAGCGCAACGTCACCCTGCAGAACATCATCGACAGGTTCCAGAAAGCATCAGTGAGTGGGCCCAACTCCCCCAGTGAGACCCGCCGGGAGCGGGCCTTTGACGCCAACACCATGACCTCCGCCGAGAAGGTTCTCTGCCAGTTTTGTGACCAGGATCCTGCCCAGGACGCTGTGAAGACCTGTGTCACTTGCGAAGTGTCCTACTGTGACGAGTGCCTGAAAGCCACTCACCCGAACAAGAAGCCCTTTACAGGCCATCGTCTGATTGAGCCAATTCCGGACTCACACATCCGGGGGCTGATGTGCTTGGAGCACGAGGATGAGAAGGTGAATATGTACTGCGTGACAGATGACCAGTTAATCTGTGCCTTGTGTAAACTGGTTGGGCGGCACCGAGATCATCAGGTGGCAGCTTTGAGCGAGCGCTATGACAAATTGAAGGTTAGTCCCATCCGCCTTAAGCCAACCCCTTTCTGCCAGCAAATGTCATGGAAATAAAAAGTGTATTCACTGCTCGCTACGTGGCAGGTGAAGGTTTTCTCTTCACCTTTGTTATCTGATTAGTTTTAGCATGTTTTTGGCAGCCTATAAATGTTTCACAATAAGGGTATCTTGTAAAAGTTGACTGCTGCTTGTAATTTTAGCGTTGTCAAGGTGAGGGCGAATTCTAAAAATCTGGATCATTTTCAATCCTTGCAGTTCTTCCAAAGAGAGCACTGCCTCTCTCCAAGGGGTGGGCGGTGGGGGGGGGTAGAGAGAGAGACAGACAGAGAGAGAGAGAGAGAGAGAGAGAGAGAGAGAGAATATGACACATAAAAGATAAAATCGGATTTTGGGGGCATTTATTTTCCTCATTCATCCGGGAAAACTAATTCACTCTCATTGTACCTGTATCTAGTTACTGTGCAAACAAGAGAATAGAAAGAGGAATGTCTGTAGCAAATGTGGGATTTTAGAGGACACGTGACCTTTTATTCCTTGTGTAAACGATATCTAGCTTATTGGTGGACTACAGTGCTCTGACAATCTCAGGTTTCATGAAATAATTCCTTTTCTTGTAGGCTCTTTATTCAGTAAGGTTACAGGCGAGACTCTGTTTGAACTTCACTTTTTACATGAAATTATTAACCTAACTCCAGCTTGGGGGATAATAATTAATACGACTGTATGTCAAATAAAAAAAGCACTCTCTAAATATGGATAGAAAGCACCAGGGAAGAAATAAAAAGCCAAGTCTCCAGATGTCTGTTCAACTGCAGGCGACGGTGGGTCTAATTATTGAAAACTCAGCTGAGAGAGTTTGAGTGAGAGACTACGTTCACCAGCTAATTTTAGATCACAAGACACCAATTAAAAGGAAAGGAAGTATAAATTAAAAGCTCTAAGTAAATATATATTGAAGTCCTTCCTCTCAGGAAAAACACATAACCACGTTATTGAGCAAACAAAATGAATCACATGATCAAAAGAGTATTATCACTCAGAACACCGTCACCTTTAACAAATGGTTCCTATCACCTCTCCTTAGCTCTAATAGGTGGCTGTGTTTACTGGGACCACATAGTTTATTTTGCGACAGTGGGATTAAAGAGCCCACATCTGGGATTCAGCTTTGCTATTTCTTGACATGTTGAGGGAGGTTGACATGCTGAAGCGAATCCCTGCTTCTAAATGTCACTTGGGCAACAAAAGCTTCACCTGGGCAGCATATCTCACTTTAACTGTCCAAAGAGTGACTGGCACAAATCCATCTATAAACCGTGTAGAGGAAGGAAAGCACCAGGATTTAGGTGACACAGACAAGGGAAGACAGACTCTGACTGGCATTCTAGTGCAGCGCACGGCGGCAGCGGAGAAAAGCACCACCGAAGTTAATAATAGCAAAGGTGACGTGTGTCTGAGTTGTGCCTCTAAAGCAGAGTCTGCAGAAATTGATATGGTTTTTGGAAAAAAACAGTTTCTATCAGTTTTTAGAAACCAACGTTTCTAAATGTTTTTCACGCCTTGTTCTATTGTTGCAGGGTTGGGGAGGGTGTTTAGAATGGTTGAACAGAGATGTTTGATTTTTGTTTTCCAAAATGTAAACATGCCAGATCTTTTTTCCTTTATCAAAAATGTTCCTTTGATGTGATTAACACTGCCTTTTAATGATTGTTTGTTAAAACGCCATCATCATAATGATGTTCAATATTCAATAGCTCCCAGGCTTAATATTTAAACCTGGTAGTAAATTCTGCTCATTACTTGTGTATTGTCACAGCAGAGTTATTAATTATTTATATAACATCTTCAAATTTATGAGGAGATACTGTCATGCTCTAGCCCTTTTTGGGATGAAAATGAAACTCTTCAATTTTTAGCCCTATGCACTTGTCTAATCAACCCACTGGGTTATTGGTCACAGGAAGGGCCTGGCAGTTAATGAGATAGTATATTTTATTTTCTAATTACAGAACTATAAGTATATAAACAGCACCCAATGCTCCCAAACGCCTTTAAAGCTGTTCAACAAAATATGCTTATGAGCATTTGAACAATTAACATACTAGCACATAGTATGTTTGTTCTAAAACATGCCACTATGTTAGAATTTTTAAAAGAATATACGCCATTTGGGTGTCTATGACATTTCAGTTATCACATATTTATGAACATATGTACTTCCTTGTTTTGTTTAAAACCTAAGTACAATATACATGTTGATTTTTGAAGGAAGTAATAGCATTCCAAAAGGGACCAAACCAAGGAAGTATGTTCTTGTTAATTATTACTTTGGTCTGAAAAATTGTGCTCTGTTCATGTATTTTTCTGTAGCTCTGGGATCTCATATAGATATGGATTTGTGATGATGTGGGAACACAAAGCATGGAGATTTTAAGGATGTTTTCATTGATAAGACATAGATTTGCTTTGCTTAGTTGGATATGTAAGGACCCAGGTGTCTCTTATGCTTGAAAATATTTTTGTCCTATTGGTAAAAGTCCATTATATGAAGAGAGGAATTCTGCAATGATTATAAAGAATAGTTATTTCTTACAATGGCACTAAACTTTGGGGGAGTTTTTTTTTTACTCATATTAGATGTCAGTATAAGAAATGTGTACTTATATAAAGAACTAGAATTTAGTTGTGTACATTACAGTCTTTTCCTAAGCATAAAAGAAAAAATGACATAAAAATTCCAACATGTAGAATTCATACAAATAAAATCTTCCAACACATCTGAAATAACATCATGTCAGTAATCTAACACTTTCAGAGATTATGCATTGAAAAGCATTCATGAAACATTGAAGCAAAGAGAAAATTAAACTAGTATTTCCTGAACTCTATTTTAAGATAAAAAGAGAAAAGTCTTCCTGCCAAATGCAAAGGTCTCTAAATAGAGCATATCATAATAGGGACCTTTCTTTAATACATCATTTTAATTGAATTTTAAGAAGCCTCTCAGTCCTCCAAACTTGGATTAAAATTTTGATTTGTGAGCCACATAAGAGAATTTAATATAATGCATTCCAGAGTTTTTAAGGAATTACAATGCAGTAATTCCTCTTTTTCTCTTCCAACATACAATGTTGGGGCTCTTATTTCTTTTCTCTAGTTACATCTATAAAAATATTCAAATTGAGAAAAATTGACCTTTCCTTCCCCTTCAGTTTCAGCATAGCCCCTTCAAATTAGCTGAAGCTGATGTTCAGTCCACTCTTGCTTTTCTGATTCTAAAGGTTGGCTGAGAGAGACTGTATAATTCAGGTTTCAATGGATCATCCCATTGTATTTTTTAATAGTTTGATAAAAAGTTCCAATTAAAGCTCAGATTTCCTATGGAGGTGAAGACATGAGATTTCATTCTTGGGTTGTTTATAGATTGTAAGGTTCTATATTTTTGAGAGTCTTTTCCAGTTTGCCACTGGGAAAGTTATAAGTGGATACTGAGCTAGATTTTTTTCTTTTTTCTTAGGATTTCTATAACTTGTTTCTTCTTTGAAAATAGTAGCAGGTATAATGCAGGTTCTAGTGCAAAGGCTTGTGATACACACACATGTACATATACATATATGCCTACAAGCATGCATTTGTTTATTTAATATTAGAATCTTCCTGAATCTAAACTATATGGCCACAAATTCAAATAACCAGTATTTCCATTAGGAATATGTCATTATGCAGAAAAGAGATGGCAACAAATATAGCGATAACTATTACCCAAAATATTTTACCTATTCTTTAAATGTTTGATAGATGGGTAAACATCATTTTTGGACTTGGTATATCTTTTGTGGGAAGATTCTTATCTTGAAGTTTTTTTTGAAGTTCCAAACATTTTTTTAAATGTATCTTTTTGTTTATTGATTGCCAGTTGAAATGCCTTAAGATTAGGGCTTGAGACAATTGCATATGCAAATTTTCCATAAACTCATTAATTTTTAAAATATGCTTAATAATTAATAACTAAGAAGTGTACATTTAAGCTTCCCATGTACAGAGTGAAAATTTTAAGTTCTCTTCATAGCTCTGTTATTTTTCTTTCTTTAGGACTTTTGAAGCTATGTTATTAGGAACATATACATTTATATAGGTTTTTCGAGAGATCATAAAAAGTTAAGTTAATATGTGTTTAATAAATGAAGTTGGTATGAACAGGAACAGTCCCTGCCCTCATGGAGTTTATAGTCTATAGAGAATTTAAACAGCTACTAAATATTTTCTCCATTGGTGGTGGGGGTAGGCACATAGTGCTCAAAGCAAGGACACTCACCCCAGCCCTGAGAGATGGAGAAAGGCTTCCCAAGAAACAGGGCCATTGCACCTACCATTTCTAAGCCTTGTGTTAGAAAACTGTGTTGAATTTACTAGACGCTTGTAAAATCCCTGTTATCACTTATTCCTTTTTCACTTTTTTACCACACAGGATGTCCTTTGTATAACCCTATATAGTTTTTCAAACTAGTTCACAATAATTCCAGGTTAGATTTTTAATCTAAAATACAAATATACCATATACTGTTTCACCGTGTGATATATGAGTAAGTCAGACACATGTCTTCTAAAATGTTTTGCTTATATGGTGTCTGGCCAGTTCCAACTGACTCCTTGAAGATGCAATTAATTCTGTTTGCATTTATTTTATGGCAGCATTTCTTTAGTCTGCAATGTTTTAGTTTTAGTTGACAACGTAATTATATACAAGGTAATAATTGTATACATTTATGGGAACAGAGTGATTTTTCCATAGGTGTATACAATGTGTTACAATGTATATATGTTTAAAGTTCCCATGTGATGAAAATAAGGTTTCCAAATATTTATAAAATGTTAAAAATTATATTTTAATTTTGTTAGTTTGGTACAAAAATATTTATGATAGATGGAGTAAAAGAAAACATCTCCAGGAGTAGTTCTTAATGGGAAACTTAAGGCAGCGTCCTTTTCCCCTCCTC